ATATTTAAAAATGACAATTTAATACGAATTTAATGAACAAAACAAATATTATAATAAAATTTGATAGCTTGTAACAAAATAAGTATTAATATCCATAAATGATGGATAAATATATTTATAAGCGTCGAAGCGTAAACAATTCAAAATAAGATCTCATATTTAAATTTTAAATCAAAATGTTGTATCTATTTATTTGAACAATAAAGCGAAAAAATATACATTTAATACAATAAATGTTAATAAATAGGGAACAAAAATATTCAATTAAGTGCAACTATTATTATTTTTATGTCCTAAACAAAATAAATTTAAAATTTTTATTATTAAGTAAATTGATGCTGTAAATTGTTAAAATGTTATCATTAATACAAGAACAGGAACATTAAATATAATTTTTTTAGTAATAAATAAATGAATAGTTTATTAATGATTAAAGGTGTCCTCTTTCTATTTGACAACACATCTACAATGCCTGAAATATGCTAAAACATATATAATATAAAAATAATATATTAAATAAAATATTATTAAACAACATATATATATATATATATATAATAATCACAATATGATATTTTCAGTTAGGAAAAAATAACAAACAAACAAGAGCCATTGATAAATGAAATTAGCACAAATTAATAATGGAATAAATAACATACACCTCCTGTTTATAACTAATACATATATTGGCAACAACAATAAAAAATTATTAATAATTACCCACTGCCGTTTGGAGGTGATGAATAATGTGAAATCCGAATACAGGAAAGGCAAATAACACCGTCACATTCAACAAAACGATGAGCAGCTCAGTTCAACGACTATGGTGACAAGGTAATACACAACCCAAACACTTGGCGTCGATATGACCGAAACGACAGAACAACAGAGCGCGAATGAATTAGTTTTCAATGCCATACGCTGCAGGGACTGGTCTAAACAGCAGCGCCGCCGTACCGTTACGAAGGTGGTGGTTTTTGTGGGAAATGACACATTGAAGGTCGCGGCGTATATTGAACGCGGAATCTCCGGTCCACTAGACGGCTACAGAAAATGAAAATAAAATTGCGTGGTGTCAGCGGCATACCTGTCGTGACAAACACAAACGTGTATGACGTGATCGCCTTCACATACCGCGTTTTAATGTTTAATTAAACATATAGCGTCACCTCACGTTAATGTGATCTAACATAGTATTTTATCTGAAAATCAATGTGTTATGAACGTGTATTTCAGTACTGAAAGTTTTTATCAACTGTAACTATTTTAAGTGGTAACAACAAAAATAATTTCTTCAAATTCAACAATTGATTAGATGTTAAAAATCAAAAGAGCAACAAATTTTTTATACTAGAAAATATTCTTAGGTGGCCTAATAAAATGTTGAATACAGTAAGAAAAAACCTTAATTCTGATGTTTTTTTTAGTGATTTTTATTTATGTCACTACACAATCATTTGAATAAATTATAATATAATAATTATTGTTTATTTTAAAAACAAATCATACAGTTTTTGAAGATAGAACTTAATGAAAAGACCCCCATACTATGTCATAGTTCTTCAGTCGGGACAATTCCTTGTTGTACCTACGTAGCTGCCGCAATGTAGTTTAGTAATATTAATCCAATGAGAGCTGTTAAAAAGTGGTAATCGACATAAAAAAGAAAAAAAACTAATAAAATATAAATAAAAAAAACAAATACTAAAAATAATCTTCTTAATTCCTCGTCAAAATTAAAACCTTCATTCCTAATATTATTTAGAAAAAACCAATATAGTTTGAACAAGTATAGTTGATATAGATGAAAGTATAAGTTTTTTTTTTTAATTTATCACTTTTACCTTATAAAGGTATCAACTTTATTATTTTAAATGACAACAAACATATTTAACTAGCTAATAAAAAAAAAATTATGTTAATTAAAACGGTAGCAAAGTGAGGTCGCGGTACAGTTTAGTGTTCAACAATTTGTCCCCAAGAACCAACTTAAATATAATAAAGGTAAGGTGTGTAATGTTATTTTATCATTTCGAAGTACTATTTTAAAATTTGTTATTGACCAGTCACTTTTGTAATAAGATAAATATTATTTTATTAGTTAGTTAAAATTACAATACAAAATATTGAATATCACTTTCATGCTAAATTTCATTTCTATAGTATGTATTATATTATATAGATTCATAGTATATTTATTCAAATATTATAATTATAAATTATTACATTTGTATCAAGATATAAATAAGGAAATAAGAGTTCACGTTGGAATAATTTAATAATTCTTTCTAAAAATGAAATACTATCTACAGATTTGATTCAAGTGTTTTTTATAATAGTGATTTTAATCACTGTCAAATATTACTGTATCTAAATAAATGACTGCATTTATGCTGTCGTGAACCCATAATTATTTGGTAAATTTTAGTTTTAACGAATTTATTTTAAACATTATAATTACTAGAAAGTAATATTTTACTGCCAAATGCATAAACATGCAAAATTATGTTTGAGTATCGTATTACTGACTTGATAAAGTAATTAGATTAGAAAAATAATTTTAAGTAAAAATTAAAATAAAAGCCAATCAGATATTTTTTTTTAACAAATTTTTAAATTTTCATAATTTCTAGATGTTTAGAATTTATAATACATGATTTTAATATAGATTATTTTATTTAAAATATAACACAAGTTTACATGTTTTTTTTCGGAAAATCATATACCTAAGATAGAATAAAAAATAATAAAGGTCTCAATAAACATCTAAATATTCCTAAAAATTAATTTTCTAATTAGAAAACATTTAACCATTAACTTTTCTTAAAAATTAAATGATATCTATTTACCTGATTCAAAGGATTAGTCCGGAAAAGAAGTCCATTTGAAAAATTATTTGCTAGATAAACAACAAAGAAAATGTAAAAATACATTTTTGCATTGATTAACGCTGTATTTGAATAAAACTGATAACTAAAACTGTTATAACAATACTATTTTTTTTAGCGTTGAAAGGCCATTTTTATATATTTTTAAAATAGCAAACAAAGCGTTTAATAAATTAAATTTTGGTTTTAATATTTAATATTACTATTAATATAAACATTTTATTTATAAATGACAGGTATAAAACCTTAGTATTTTATATAATTATTTTATCGTCATAATTATACTCAAAATACTATAAAAATCTTCCTTTGTTTAATTCAGTCAACATGAAATACTGAAATTTAAGTGTATAAATAAGCCTTGATATTTTGCAGATGGTTTTCTTTAATAGTTACTAATTTATCATTAAATAGTCATAAAAATTTTCTATATAATTAAAATAAAATGATAAACGTTAATTCTGGTTACTAAATTATGAAACGACAAATGTTTTTCGCACATATATTTACCTATAATTGCTTATCTAAAAATAAAGAAATAAATCATTTACTTTATTTTTTTAGCTTCGATGAGAATCGAAGAGGTATTAATTTTATCATGATGTGTTAATTTTTTAATTATCATTTTTTTGTGTTTGTCTACCTTTTCTCAGCTCTCACCGAACTGATATCTTTCAACAATAAGTGAAGAGATCATAAATCGTATCTAGTTGAATACATTACCCTTAAAAATCCCCGCAAATGGGGGAAATATCCAAAAAAATTACAAATTTTAAAATCGGTAAATTTTGTCATTTTTTTTCTTAAAACTTTCATAACTTTTTCAAAAATAAACAAATCAACATAATTTTTTTTATACTAAGACCTTAGATATTTTCCTTTCATATGATATCATTTATTTGAAAATTTAACACTTAACCTGCTCATTGGGGGGTTTTAAAATAGCAACTTTTTTACAAAAACTAACTTTTTCAACTTAATTTTTGAAAATGTTCCGGAAAGACTGCGTCCTTTAATCATATATAAAATCAAAGGTTATATCATATACTATAAAATGAAAAAAAAAATTTGCCACGACCCTTTATTTTATATGTGTAAATAGCTATCGTATTCAAAAATATGCTATTATTTTGTTAAAATTCTTGGTTTTGTATTTTAATTAATTTTAATATAACTTATAAGGGGAGTACACTGATTTTAGTAAATATTATATAAAACTAAACCTTTTCCTCTTTGGGGAAATGCCCGTCGAATTGAACAAAAATGTAATTTTTATATAAAAATTACCTTTTAAAATATAAATATTTTAATACTTAAACGTGTCATAACTTTATTAAAAATAAATTTATTTGGTAAACAATTTTAAAAAATCTGGCCATTTATCTGCACACGGGGGAAGATTCAAAATAGCAATTTTTTCACTCAAGTTAATGTTTCAATTTAATTTTTGAAAACGATCCGGAATTACTGACATTTTTATATATACATATATATATATAAATATGTATCTTAAATTAAAGTTAACGTAACATACTTTACTACCGAACTTTTTCAACTTAATTTTTGAAAATGTTCCGGAAATACTGCATCCTTTAAACATATATCAAATTAAAGCTTATTTTATGTACTATAAAATGAAAAAAAAAAATTTGCCACGACCTTTTATTTTATATGTGTAAATGGCTACCGTATTCAAAAATATGCTATTATTGTGTTAAAATTCTTGGTTTTGTATTTTATTTTATTATAAGGGGAACACTGATTTTCATAAATATTATATCAATCTAAATGACATAGTATAAAAAATTAATCATATTTAAATTTTTTTGTTTCTTTGAAGTCGAGAAAAATAACTTTAAAATTTGAACTAGCTAAATTTCCATTTTTATTAAGTGACGAATAAGACTTACGGTTTTTGAGACGATAACACTTGGGTCTTTCACGACCGTGGCACTGAATTTTTTTTTAATTCTTTTTGAGTTAAAAAAAAATGTTTAACTCATTTGATTTTTATCTCATTTAGATTCAATAACTTCAATAAATAGCAAGGATTCCATTATTGTAGTCTCCTCTCGTGAGAAGAAATTCATTTTAATATTATTTTACTATGTGGTTTTTTTTTTGTAGCTATCATTTATTTTCTCAGCTCTCATTTGACCTACTTTTTTGACAAATTTTTTTTTTAAATTAAACATTATCTACAGATTTGCATCGAAGCGTCTTTTATGATAGTGATTTTGATACGACAAAATGTAATAATACAATCAATTTTGTTAAATTTGTAATTAATCATTAATTAACTGTCCATAAAATAATAAATCTAATATAATTATCGTACTTGGCATAAAAAATTAAACTTCTAGAATCTTTTTTTAAACGAATATGCGTTTGCTAAAAAATAAAATGAAAATAAATAATTAAAAATCAACAAAATCAGTTATAACGTATTTTAAGACTTTTACATGTTTTTTTACTGTATGTAGTGTTTTTGTGGGCTATTTATTGAGAAAACAACATTGAAGTTATTATTTTTGAATTTCTTGTAAAATTTTCTTTACTTGAGTTTTACTTTTATTATTCTACGTTAAGAGAAAAAAAAGTTATGAGACATAGATCAGTTATTTCTATTAAATTTGACTTTTCGACTCAACTTAATAGGCCCGGGGGCACGGGTTAACCTTAACGGATCGGTCCCAAATTTTGCACAGCTCATTTTTTTGACCATTAAAATAAAATTAAGGGGTAGCGTAAAAAAAAAAAGACATTCGATTTTTGAGGGCCACCCTAATGTAACATACTATGTATTATAATATACGAAATAACTAAACTCACTTCGGACGGTGCGACGTCGACGACATCGAGAGGTGGTTCGTTTGGAACTTCGACGATGGCAAATTACACACAATGGGAGAGAAAAAATAATAAGAATTGTAAGTCTTTATTTCAATCGTATTTAAAAGCCATTGAATAATTTTACTGACGTCGTCCGACCCGACGTCGACAAATTCGGGCGACGGTTCGACAGGAGCTCCGACCACTTCAGTCTACACGAAAAATAAAAGATATATATATATATATATATATGTAATGTAATTATAATACAGTGTAATGAAAACTGTTCACGTCGAGCGGTCCGACAATTTCTGGTGACGTTCCAACAGGCACTACTTCTATAATTTCCACCTTCAGAATTGACTACGTAAATAAAATCAATAAAATATTGGGTAAATATCATTATTATTATGCGTAACTTACCAAATCGTTTCCACTGGCACCACCAGCGACGCGTTTCCTCCGGACGGTCCAGCATCATCGACATCAATGTCCACCACGCGACTAATTTCCTATACGGTGCTAACATTTATTGTTACAATCCAGGATAACTCGGGCACGGAACCTGACGTGTTGTGTATATTTGTATATATATATATACGCTATGTAAGAAATATGAAAATTGAACGAATTAATACCGTCACATTCCGTAACCGTTACTACGATTGTTCATGAAATTAATTACACAACTTTATTACGTCGGCCTGATTATGTTGCTCCGTAACACATTGACCTTAGAGGGAAATCTTCGAAGACGATTGTAGCGACTACTGTTTACTATTATAATTAGTACTTACAGACGGTACGGCGTTCCGGTTGAGCATCCTGCGCACAGTACTGCTGCCGTAGTCGCTCGGCTGGAAATGCCGGTAACATAGAAATGCATTGCGGACGTTTACGTCCGACGGATCACGGCCGCAAGCCACAAAAAACCGTAGTCAGGAATCGGCCATTTGGGCATCCCTCGGATGGCTCTGTTTTACGCCAGTTACCCAACGAAGATTGCGTTCAAAAGCTATCTTTCGATCCACAAGACGATCGTTCAGTTAAGGTTCTCGGGTTACATTGGAATACTCACACGAATGTATTCGCGTACCATACAAGTACTCACGTTCCTTAATCAAATCCTTATCGAAAATTTTAACTGTTATTTTACTATGTGGTTATTTTTTGTGGCTGCGATTTATTTTATCAACCTTCACATGACCTACTTTTTTCAACAATTCGTCAAATGATTACAATTCGTATTTAGTTAAAGGTATTAACATCACAAATTGAAAAAAATCCCTTATTCAATTAAACAGTAGCATAACCCGCTTTATCCATACAAACAATTGAAATCATTAATTTCTCATTATTTTTTAAGTATATTTTGTCAAATTAGATATGATATGATAAAGAATTCAACTACAAAAACTAATAATTTTAATTTGTAATTTATTAATTTTTTAACGTTATTTGTGTGTGCTACAACAGTATATAATATTTCAATTTTTTTTTTAACTTGTTGCTATATAAATCATAAATCTAAAAAGCAAAATGATTTTTAGTTTCATCTGAATTTAATGATGGATTTTAACAATTATAATCAAATTTTATAATACGCTCACAATTGAGTAAATCTGTTTAACAACTTTTTTTTTATTGGTTTTATTAGATTTATTATCATTAAAATTAATTAAATTCTGAATATTTCCATAGTAGAATCTTTTTAAACACCAAAAGTTATTAAGAAATGATTACTATGATTTTTATTTAAGTGATCTATTACAATAAAAATGCAAAAAAAAAAAGTTTTTCTGATAAATTTACTGTAAATTGTAGTTAGAACATTTCCTGACTACATATTAATTATAGCAATACTATCTTTTCTATTTAATGATGTCAATTTCAAACATGCTAGCTGGGGTTAAAGTTATGGTAATAAATTTGTTTTTTTATTTAAACTTTACTATAAAGGACAAAAAAAGTAGGTTAAAAATAATTACTTTTAATATATTAAAAATCAAAATCAATAAAAATTTCATGATAATAATTATAAAAATTATATAATATATCATTAAAAAAATTGATTTTTTTTAGTTGCATATATTACTTGATTTATCAGCTAACAATAACTTTTTAGAATCATCTCTTTAAACTCTAAAGGGTGTCAACTTTATTTTTTTTAAAGGCAGCATACATATTTGACTAGTTTATAAAATGGGAAATATTCTAATTAAAAAATCCCATCATAGTGGGGTTGTGGCACAGTGGAGACGTGGTATAGTTGGGTCCAGTATAGATTTAATCTGACAGTAACTAAATCTATACTGGACCCAACTATACCACGTCTCCACTGTGCCGCGACCCTACTTTGCTGTTTTTTTTTAACTACGGCAGCCGTTTATCCCGTAGAAGATAAGGTGTCGGGACAAATTATTTTTTCATTTTATAGTACGTAACATATGCTTCAATTTTATATATGTTTAAAGAACGTAGTATTTTCGGAACATTTTCAAATCTTGAAAAAATTACTTTTTGTAAAAAAGTTATTTTAAATCGCTGCCTGTGAGCAGGTTAAGTGTTAGATTTTCAAAAAAATAATATCCAATGAAAGAAAAATATCTAAGGTTTTAATAAATAAAAAATTATGTTGATTTGTTAATTTTTGAAAAATTTATGGTAGTTTTAGGAAAAAAAAAATTACAAAATTTACCGATTTTAAAAGTTGTATTTTTTGGAGATTTCTCCCATTTGAGGGGAACGAGGATAATTTTTTCAAATTTTAAGGGTAATGTCTTCAACTAGATACGATTTGTGATCTTTTGACGTATTGTTGAAAGAAAAAAAGGTAAGGTTAAAACTAATGTAAATTTTTTGCTGTTATATTTGAATAATTTAAAAGTGTCATCAATGGGTGGCTTCTTTTATCAAGTATTCAATGTTATAATTATCTTAGCTAATACTCTGATTGTACCTATAGGGAACAGATTGTGTATATATTAATAAAGGAAAAAAAATATTTGAATAATAATATTCGTTGAAACAAATTTAAAAAGAAAAATTATTCACTACCAAATGTATTCATATTTTGAAAAAATAAATTGGGTAACGAATCAAAAATTATCTTACAAATATATCATGAAAATCATATGAAATTAAGAGGCAATAAGATCAAGTCGAAAAGTGAAATTTCATGATGCTTGATGGCACATAGTTCCATTTGGTTGGGTTATAAATAAATTCAGTAAACGGAGATGCTATTCATTTTTTTGACAACAGATTAACTCTCGTACTTGGAGTTAAAAAGAATGTTGATAGATAATACATTGGCCTTTCATAAGTAGTAAAAGTCTAAATATCATACATAATATTTATTTTACCTTTGATACTGATATCTCTGCGCCTTCACCTTGTCGCGGTCGCATTTCATTTCCGGTGTAACCGCCGGATGGCGATCGCAGCGCTTCCTCTTCACGTTCGACAGGTCGCGCTATTCGCGGTGGCCGACGAGCGGTGTGAACCGGTCGTTCGGGGCTGGACGAATAGAGACTGATTAATTCTAATTCTCTTCTTTCATGTCAACGGTCACTGTGACTTAATAAAAAAGAAGGCGCTTATTTTTAAGCATCTATATCTTTAAACTATTGTTAATACTAAATTATATTGTTTTATCGTCGGAATAAACGTTTCTAGTGTTATTGCGTTACTATTGTTATTATATTTATACTTAATTACCCTGATTACATCAACCTTCAAAACGAATAATTAATTCAATAATATCTTTTTCAGTGAGTTGGACGCTTAAAGGTTCAAGAGCATGTTTTAATTCTATTGAAGTGATCTTTATTTTTCCGTCCGATAACTTTAGACAATGCTGCTCAATGCAATACTCATATAGAATGATACATTCCATCTCTGTTTTCTTAAATTGATCCAAATTTATGAATCCGTTTACTTAATGAAATAAAAGTTATGTGTTATTCATTCATTTTTATTTAAATGTAAAATGTAAATATTAATAATAATTACATTCATTAATATCACTGACTGAAATTTAAATGGCACATAATGCACATTAACTTATTATAATATTTTAAATAATATTTTATGCATGATTTAGTATTTTATTTAATTTGAAAATTAAATACTTCCTAAGACTATTTAATTATTTGCTAAGTATTAGTACTGTTTGATGTAAATATATAAAATAATATCAAAATTCAACGAATATTTATATATATCAAATCATAAATATACCAAATATATGTGTTGAAATATTTTTAGAATTATTAATTATTTATTCTTCAACTAAATTGTTTCTATATTTCAAAACAAATTATATGTTACTCTTTTGGGAATATCTCGATTTCGTAACCAGAAAAAATAAATGTTTTCATCAGAGACGTATTTAGAGTTTTGACACCCCAGGTAAAGTCTTATTACTACCCCTACATTCCTGTTTTGATATATTATCGCTACGAAAAAAGGATGTCCTCCCTAAATATGTCCCTGGTTGTCACAAGTAACCTAAGCGTGCCCAATTTATCTAGAATTAACTGGGGTGAGAGTAAAGGATTGCACTGGCTTACAAACATAATATACAGGGTGATTTTTTTATCATAACCCACTCAATTACTTACAGAATAATAATAATTTAAACATTTTTTTTTATTATTATCTTTAGTTACACATTATTCTTGAATTATTAACTATGAAATACTTTTTAAGTTCATCCCTTATGCCTGGTAAGGGTGTCAACTTTGTTTTTTTAAACGGTGACTCTTATTTTTAATTTAATAAAATGTTTGAGTTTTTAATTCAATAGTAAATGGCATTTGAATTTTTAATAAAACTTAATTTGTTTATTAGATATAAACATTTAAAGTTTAAAATTTTTGAGTTAATATATAGGTATAATACACAAGGGATTACAAATACAGGTAGCTAATTGGTTTTTTATGATATTG